ATGTTAAAATCTGGTCACCTTAGTCTAAAGGCGTGGTTGGGACTACAGACATTTTACTTCTGAGATAAATCCTTAGTATACTGTCACTAGTTACCATCTTACTTTCCTAAGCACTTTGACACTTTAACCAGACACCAGAAAAGAGCCACCACAGAAACAACCTGTTACCTTAAGCACCCTCAAGAAAAACATCACCCTCAGGAAATCCAGCAGAGAATAATTACTAAGATTCTACAATCTGTCCTCAAAGGACCTCGCTTCATGATGAATACAGTAAAAAACTATTTTCTTTCATTCTTACAAAGCGTACACCAGCAGCCTGCACAGAACAATTTTCTATTGCAAGCTACAAGGATATTGATATTCATTTTTTATAAGTTACTGGATTGCAAACCGTCTATGTAAAAACATCCAACAGACTAATTTTGTTCACAAATGAGGCAGAGGATCAATACTTATCTGAGCAGATAATAATCAATGTGGAAATTTCAAAAATTTTAAATAGTTACCATGTCAGGAATACAGATCTTATTTGGATGGCATAATCAAATTAAATGTTTTATTCATCATAGATCCACAGGAAACTGAGAAAGTACTACTTATTCTTCTACCAGTAACTACATTAAAATAAATAACCGAATATATGTCATTCACAAATGGTATCTGAGAACCCTTCTAAAGGAAAACTTTGCTTCAGATTATTTAACATTAAAAAAAGTAAAGACAACCAAAATATCAAAAGATGTAATATTCTAAATTCTATTAATGTATTTATCATGAACATCCTCATTGCAAATTTTTATACACACTAAATGTGGTTTCTACTAATGAAAGCAAATTCCAGCCACTCTTGTCATTCCTGTGTTGGCTCGGTGACTGTGTCTAAGTTGGTCTGATTTCGCTTCACCTCCAATCAAACAATGATAAACAGGCCAGAGCCTTCAGAAGTGCAATTGTAACACAACCCAAGCTTCAGAGACTCAGTCATTCTGCAGCCCTAACGTCAGTCAGCAAAAGGCTCTCTTCATAGCAAACTATGGTTAAGGGCTTACAGTCACCCAGCCATAAATTTTGTTTTAGTTCCCAAAGAAAAATCAGACTATACTCCCATAGTGTCATTCTGTGAATAGACCACAAAGATGTTGAAAAGGGCACTAAAGAGAAAGAAAAGATAATTTAAAGTCACCGGGTTCAAAGATCATAACACCCATTTCCAGGGTCCTGGAGATATAAACGAAAACTTAACCGGTGCCTTTTAAAAAAAGGAACAGTAAAAAAAACAGCTCCATGTTGCTCTTTGGATGTATTTTTATGAAGTGACATTATCAGCCAAAGGAGCACCCAGAAAAGTAAAGAGGCCAGGTAGGAAACATGTCAGTTTCCATCACGCTGGTCTACTCTGGTTGAAATGAGAAGATTACAGAGAAAGCAGGAAGCAGATAAGCCTGCCGGAGAATTGAGCCCTCCGGGAGCTGGGAGGCAGGGCCTGACCTACTAATGGGACTGCAGAAAACAGGCTTCACGTCGGGCAGGGTGATTCTAATCCTCGATTAAAGCCCGTTTCATTTCACGCCAGAGAAAGGAAACGTCTGCATTTCACCAGAACCAAGTTTAGATATTTTTTCACATTAAAAAAAGTCATATGCCAAATAAAATTATAACTTTATTAGGAAACAAAATAAGAGAAATGGTCAACAAGAATCCAAACAACACAGCAGAGCTCTGACTTTTTGAAAATTTCCTTTTCAATTTTTATGGATTCATATTTTTTACATGATTGTAACTAAGGAAAATATATAAATTCGCAATCTTCATGTTCCTAATACAATTATCTTAATGTCTAAGCACAAAAGGAAGTTAACATTTTAATTTCACTATGAAAATGTCCAATTTTCCTAGAACATACAGAACCACACTATGTTATCAAACCCAACCAAGATAACTTTAATTCATATTCTATGTTTTGTAAAATAATAGTTTTATGAAATTCTTATTTTTTTGTATGAGACCCAATTCACATCACTACCAATGAAAATTCTCGATACAGTATACCAGAGTTGTAAATCCTTGACTTAGTAGTTATCGGCAATGATTAAAATAAAGGTTGAAAATTGAACCTGTTCTACTCAAACATAGAATGGACATAGAACTGCTACTACTGCATAGATTTAAAGGAAAATATACAGTGACTTAGAAAATGCATCTGGATTGATTCCACACTGTTCTCTACCATTTAAGATTCCCGTAATTATTCCAAAGAGAAATCACTGGCGACTAGTGCTTTACAGAGTAACTCACAGAGGGATAGAAAGGAAAAGTCGCACATATATAAATATATTTTTAAAGGAGACTTACGCATCTTAAGTCCATTTCTTTTTTTTTGTTTTTTTTATTACTATTAAGTCTTTCGTATACAGATCATAAATATATTTATGTCATTATATGATTCAATGTGATGAGTATTTGTACAAATTGGAATGTTTACATCCTATTAAACAACACAGCCTTCACCACTTTTACCGTATTACAAGATTAAGACATTTACGCTCTACACCTGATAGATCCAACTTATACTTGCAGTATGCTCCATAGGTGTGGTCCCCCTACCAACCCTCCCTCTATCTACCCACCTCCTCCCTTCCCCTCCACCTCCCCCTCCCTCATTCATCTTAAGTCCATTTCTTGAACGAACTTTTTCATAAAAATGGCACTGCAGAAACCTAAGTACAGTGTAGTATTAGCATAAGGATAAGCATACTTACCAAAAGAACAAAATTAACAATACAGAAACAATCCTTTGCCTTTCCAGTCAATTGACTGTCTACAACAGTACCAAGACACATCAGTGGGTGAAGAACAGTGTTTTCAGCAAACGGTGCTGGTGGTCACACACAAAAAAAATAAGATACAATGAACGAACCCCCACGTCGCACACCACACAGTGAAATCAACCCAAAATTGATTGAAGACCAGCTGTAAGAGCTATACAAAAAAAGTTCTAGAAAGAAAGAAGAGAATCTTTGTGAGCCTTGCTAGCCAAAGAGATCTGGAGAAATTAATAACAGGAGAAACCAGCTTTGGGAGTTATAGTTATATTTTCTGCTCAATTTTTCTGTAGCATACACTTCCCTCCCAAATAAAGTCTATTCATTGTAAAACAAGTAAACGATGTTGACTATAAAATACAAAATAGTGATAATAAAGTCTATCATTAAAAACAGGAAATAAACATTTGAAGATTCACTGAATGTATTCAATTCTGCTGAGAACAGAAAGCCAACCGAGGTTGGTGAGAACGGCAGCTGTCACCCTGTGGTGTTAAAATAAACTCTGCATGGCTTTCTGATAACTTCTCATTTGGCTGCTCCCTAAACAATTGTTTTTATAGTAAATAACAAGATTCTGCTGCTAGCAAGGCTCTGAAATTATCTTCCTTATCTGCAATTTTCTTTAAGTCTCCCTTTCTTTTAAACTCAAAAGCAAGTAATCAAATTCAATGTATTTTTTAAAACGTTCCTGAAGACTAAATCCTATTTCTCCTTTGTTAAACAATAGCCCGCTCTGCCAGCCCCACCACCACCCAGAAGAACTCATAATTCCATCTCTGCTCCCAGATCTTTGTTCTTACTTCTGATGATCCATTTTCGTGCTGGGTGTCAGCTATGTGAGCACCTGTCTGGCCTACCCCTCACACCATGCCCTGGAGGACAGGGACTATGCCACAGTCACCTGACACCAAGACCTTGCATCTGGAGGGCACTGCCAGAATGTAAGTGACAGACACCCAACTCAAGCTAAACTGCTGGGAAAGGAACAGGAGGTGCTGGTTTTAGGCGCTGTAAATTGGAGACCACAGCTGTGGGGGGGGTGCCCCTCCCTCCCTCCTTCCTACCTCCTTTTCTCACCTCCCTGCTCTGATTTCCTCTATCTTGACTTCATTCTCAATAAGGTTTTCTCTGAATGGACCAAAAATCTGCCACTGACGAACACAAAAGGAGCACTAGGGCCTCTCTGTAAGGGACTGCTGTGACTCTACTGGCCACTCTTAAATCACAGGTCCACAACTGAGTCAACTGGGGTCATCTCCTCTAGCAAAGCAGAGTGAGAATGAGGCAAGGGCAGCTGCCCAGGGAAAACCAGGTGACTTATTAAAAAGGAGGAGGATAAGGACTTCGCTGGGTGGGCAAAGCCAACAGACATTCACTCGGAGGTTCTCAGAGACTGTTGACTTAATCCTTTCTCGTATTTATTAACTGCTTATTACATGTAAAGCTGAATTACCCAATGAATCCCCAATAGGAATTGGTTGTAGTATCTGTACAATACATGGCCTCAAACTGAATTATTTTCCACTTTCCTGCCACATAATGGGGTTATCTATGCTGTTTCATTCTTCTGCTCCACAGTGAGGCTATTTTACGTTTATTTAAGCATTTCTCTTCCCTTGTCCTACCTGAGCATCTTACTGCCAAATGTACACCGTGCAGAAAATGAATGTGTTGGTAGCTTTTGTTTAAGGGAAGATAAGAGTATACAAGATCTGGCCAAGCAAACCAAGGGTGCACAGCTAGAATTACCCCAGCACAAACAGCAGCTCTCCATGACCCACCCTGCATGGTGTGAAAATACAAATGAGTGCAGGTCTTGGAGAGCACGACACAACTCCACAGGCTAGACTCTGCTTCTTTACAAAATAAAGCCAAGATCACTGAGGCCTTGAGGGCGACCTCCAGGTGTAGCTTCTGCAATGTTTGTACCGAAGGTCACCCTCTCCTCTGAGAGAGGAAAGGAAGATAAACAAAGAGGATGGGGCAGAAGAGAAGGGAAGGAAGAGAACAAGCATCCCACTATACACAGATGGTCAGGGGACCTCTGCCATTTACACAACGCTGGGAATCTCTCAAATTACTGGGAACGATTCTTTGGGGTTGTCTCCAAAATGCTTACAAAAGGAATGAACGCTATTTCCCTTTATTCAGCCTCTCCTACCTTATACCAACCTGATTTTGCTTAAGTTATCGTATTGCCTCAGCTTTTCACAGGAGCTTTCTTTTATGGATTTTCCATCCAGCGAATGTTTCTGTTCCACGGCTGGGCAGATCCGACCACAGCATGCTTGGCTACAGACCACAGCGGCTCACCCACAGACGCCCGAACCTGGAGGGGCAGAGGCCAGAAGCTGTTAGAAGGACTCTGTATTCACAAACGTCCTTTCTCCCCTCTCTCAAGGGTCTGCCTAGTGGGCGGGGTAACTTCAAACATCTTCCAAATGCTTGAAAGCATTAATGAACAGAGACAACAGCTTATCAGGTATCCTAAAGCCAAGTCTGGACCATTCATGGGGGAGAGGCGGGGGGCAAAGTATTTAATCATTATTGAAAAGGTTTGGCCTAATGATTATGCTCTGTTTGTAGAAAATTTAAAAGCCAGATGTTTTAATTAACCATGGAAAGCACAAGCTACAACTAAAATTTCATGAACACACTGATCTGCCCCATGGAAAACCACAGGAATGTTCTGGCAGGGCTCAGTCTGAATTCTTGGGACACAGAGGGCTGGAGTCATTCCCCTTAGGAACTCAAACAGAAAATTAACTTGCTCAATATGTTTAAAAAAGTAAAGTGAAACCCAGATTTAATCTCAAGTATAAAACATTTCAGGACTTCAAAGGGCAGCACCAAAAGACAGGGTGGGGGCGGGGGAGCCATACAAAATTCTAACGGGCTTCAGGGTTTAGACTGTGTCCACCATGCAACTTGAATGGGGTAGGACAGAAAATTTCAGAGGCTAAATAATCCAAAGGGAAAACTAACCTTTCATTTCCTAATAGAGGAAATTATATACAAAACCAACATTCAACAAGTAAATCACAAATATTATCAAATGTATAATCTATCTGGGCAAAAGGAATCTCTGAACTATTCTACTGCCAAATGGGCGGCCTCGCCCACAGTAGCCACCCGGCTCGGCTGGAAGAAATCAGGACACTCAGAAAAAGTGTTAAAATAACTTATGCTCACCGATGCTGCAGCAAGAAATTCTGGCACAGAAAACTCACTGAGGGAATCTTATGAAAGCAATTAGTGAATAATAAGAGCTAATAGATTAGGAAGCCTTCATTTGTTAACGACAGTAATAATTATGACAACATCTACATGTGCCAAATATTGAAAGCCTATTCAAGAGGGAGCAGGACAAATGTTCTTCTCAGATTCTGGGTCCACAATTCTATTTCTGTAAGTCGAAACACTCCCTGCCACATGTGTGCCAAGCATAATATTACACTAATCTCTATTCTCATTTGAAACCCCAGGCCCCAAAATCATCTCAAAAGGAACACAGCAGGAAAAAAGCAAGATATCAAGTTACACACGATGGTACGATCCCAACTTTGTTCTACAAACTGTGTTTAATCTGACGACACCCAAGTGTGGGCAGAGCATTTCTGGGTTGTAGAATTAGAAACTGTTTGCATCTACTCTTTGGTATTTTCCAAATTTTTTATAATTACCATGTATTACTTATAGACTTACAATATTTAAAAAATAAAGTGTTTATTTAAGAATATACGTTGAAAAATACAAATCAGACATGAGACGTCTATGCTATCCTAGCCTCATCTGCGGTTTGCCTCTTATCTGAATAAAAGAGCTAGTAAGTTAAGAAGCATTGTTGATCTGAACTCAGCAGTTCTTAATTTAGAAGTTCAAACCCCGAGAGCCCAGTAACATTTCTAGAGTAGTTTCCTAGAAATAAATTCTTATGCTGCAAACTTAGCACAGACAAAAGAACATAATTAGTTCCTTCCTTTAATAAGCTTCTATCATTGGCTACAACATGCAACTGTCACTTAATTAAAAGAGCACCTCCTGGTGTTACTTAATGGTTTCACAGGAGTAGGGGTGTACACGACCCCTCCCACACTCCATTCCCGATCCTCCTGGCATCCCCAGAAACACCAACAATGATGCTGGGATCCTGACACTAGAGGCCTTGGCAACCATCACTCCAAGAAGCCCACACCCAGAGACGTACCATGTCTCTCCCACAGCCTCGGAGCCAGCGAAGCAGAGATCAGAGTCCAAATCACCTGCCTCCCCTTTACCCTAATGCTCTTTCCAACATGACAACATCCCAGCATGCACTCTTGGAAATAAAGTTTGCATGAATCACATGCACACACTAAATTCTTATCAGCAGAACTAGAAGAACAGGGAAGAAATTTATTCCACCAAGTATAAAATACATGCAGAAATAAAAAGTGAAGACTCAACTCTAGATCAAAACAGACATGGCTGTGCCCAGAATATGTTCCATCAAAGAAAACAATGGCTGCACTGTGCTCGGGCAGCAGGTGTGCTGAACAGAAACTGCCTATCACACTGAAAGCTTTCTGGTCCTACCACTGGCCCACTGCTCACTCCAAGCAGGACAAAAAGTTGCAACAAGTTAAAATGCCACTTGCACCAACCCACCTGCGAGAGCAAAGATCTGTGCACACCCGAGCTAGAAACGGGTCACTTACAGCATCAAGTCTGGGCCTCTTACTTCCAAAACGACCCAAGTCTTAAGAGAAAGACATCAGCGGTTTCAAAAATTAAGAAAACAGATAAGAAATAAAATAAAATGATCTTAGGGCTTCTTATCTTACGTTGTATACAGTTCAGAGAACGACCAGGCTTTTTCTCTGCTTAGAATTTTTCTCTCAAAGACTGCTCACCTCCACTTCTTCCCTAGCACCTGCCCTCGCTGTCCACGCCATACCCATCAGAAACGCAGGGGTTGCACACCAGGTGAAAGCCTGGAAAGCGAGAGGAGGAGGGCAGACGGCAGGGACAGACGCAGAGACGCCCTGACTGAGCTCACTCCTTGTCACCCTTCCCTACTGGACCACAAAGGCGTGAACTGTGAAGCTGCTGATCAAAAAGCCACATCCACGGGTGACGCCATCCAGCTTCGTGAAGAGCCTGAACAGACACAAAGGCTCTGTCCCGCCTCGACTGAGAAGCCAGGCGCTGGATGAAAAAGAAAATGATTTTTTTCCCACCCAACACTCCTCGGGAAATCCCCACCCACAGTCCACGATGGCTCGTGGAGGGGAGACAATGGCCGCAGTTTGTTTATTCCCTTAATGTCTACCACAGGCAAAAGGAATTAGGTTCTTCTCGAATGTCTCACATTCGAGAAATCATGGCTCTGTGATTTGTTGAGGATTGTCTGAGTAACTCTGAGAGTCAATTTGTAAGATAATAAAAGCAAGTTTAAATGTAGCCCTCTGGTAAAATGAACTCTGACCTACTAACCACAAAATGAATAAAATCTTGCTGAAGTCGCAAATGATCTTTCTTAACAGAAGACTACAGAGAAATTAGAATGAGATTAGTGTCATAGATTCTGAAATCCTTTTTGAACTGGAACCTTGGCTGTGTGTTGTCTGGTCTTTGGCTTCAGTGAAATGAGCACCTAGGTCCTGCCACCATTTCAGAGTCTTAAATGTTTGGCCTTTCTTTTTTTTTTTGTTTCTATTCTCATGTCACAGGGAAGGTTTCTCCTTCCAAAAGCATCAGCCAAGCCAATTCAACACTGCAGAAATTTCTGTCTCAAAATGACAGGGCGGACAAGACAAGAAAGAATGTATCGAGCATGTTGAGCAAGGGTCTCTCATAGTGCTGGCTGATTTTAAAACCTTACATTTGACGTATTGAGAAATTTACATTTTAAAATGTTTGCAGAGGAGTGTATAAATTATTTCAAAGAATAAGGGCAAGTTGCTTCTTTTGGTAATTTTCAGTTTTCCAGAAAGAATCTATCATAGGCACTCATCACAAATAACCAAAAAAGAGTGATTATGAATAACTCAAATGGCCGCCCAACAAGCCTGTGGCTGATGACGAGGACAAAGCTTCACACAGTAACTTTCCTGGTCATACTCTCCAGTAAAGAGGGTTTCCTATGAGAGGTAGCAGGGGGATAATTAATGCTCCCTAATGTTTTAAAGGCAGTTCTGGAACAACGGATGAACAAATTAACAGATTTAAACGTTGTGGTCCCAGCTCTGCCATTTACAACCCAGAGCTTTCTAAGATGACTATCTCAGCCCTTTAACGTTTGTTCCATCATCTGTAAGCCAGGATGATACTATCAGCCAATCTCAGGGGTTACCAACCTTGATATCAAATATGATAGCATTATGGAAACTATAAAGTACTATGTATTCATTCCACAAATATTTACTATTAAACTACTATGCAGCCAGACATGACCTAGAATTAGGAACAAGAAGACTTAGCTCCTTAGACCAAGGACAGTGGCTCACGCCTGTAACCCTAGCACTCTGGGAGGCAGAGGCAGGTGGATTGCCTGAGCTCACAGGTTCGCGATCAGTCTGAGCAAGTGCAAGACTCCGTCTCTAAAAAGTAGCAGAGTGCTGTGGCAGGTGCCTGTAGTCCCGGCTACTCAGGAGGCTGAGACAAGAGAATTGCTTGAGCCCAAGAGTTTGAGGTTGCTGTGAGCTATGACGCCACGGCATTCTACTAAGGGCAACAAAACTGAGACTCTTTCTCCAAAAAAAAAAAAGATAGACTTAGCTCCTTACAGACAGACCTAAGAGGCACTGTGGCCTGTGGGTAGGCACACTAGGCTATGGGAACACGCCAGACAAGTAACAGGCATTTATTAACGTGAGAGTGGGTCAACTGTTAACCTCATTCATTTAGGACACTTTTATTGAGTGATGACTTTGTGCCAGGTACCATTCTAGGTGGTGGAGATTTAGCACGAAACAAGGTTTCCACTTTAATGGGGCTGACATTTCAGTCATTCCTCCTCCATATGGAATGTAAAATACGTGTACAAAACAGACACAGGCAGCAGTGTAGCTTCCGCCTAAATGTACTCTTTTTTTCACCAAAGTATCCACACACAAACATCAAAAGGAATATTCTAACTGATCTTGATCTGTACACAGTAAATATGTTACTTCTTATTCTCATCTCCAGACTGCATCTTACAATATACCCAATAACCACTACCCTATGAAAGGCGCTCCTCGGGCTGAGGGAGGACAGTGTGTGCCGCCCGGAGGGGACACTCCCCCAGCTCCTTCCCCTCCAGGGACAGGGACACCTGCCGGATTCCCTCCTGTTTTAGAAGCATTT